AGTCCGAGATGATTTTATTGGGATTATGGGAAGAAGCAACATTATGGAGGCCAGAAAAACCCTTTGCCTAGTCAAATGTTTTCTAAGAAAATGTTTTAATTTGCGTGTGTTCCAGGAAAGAAGGCAGTTTCTAATGTAAAGTTTCTTCATAGTTATAAAGAATGTTTTTCAATGAAAATAAAATAGATAAAAAAATTTTAAAATTATAAAATCTTACCTAAGTAGACAATGCTTTTCTTTGGAGGAGCTCGGGGGACACGGGACTTGGTTTAAGCTTTTCAGTAAACTGTTCAGTAGAGCTTTTGATGTTTTCAATGAAAACCCAGGATTGCAACCCCACGCTGTTTTATAAAGCACCTACAACAGTCCTATTTTGCATTCCTCAGAAGGAAACCGACTGCAGCAATGGAAAGCGGCAGACACATGCACAAACATCGCTGCCTTGCTCCGGGAAAACCCCAGGAGAGGGCGAACAGAAGAGCAACGTGAGCTGGCCGGGTCTGAGGACGTAGCGAGGCTGTTCCCGCTGAGGACTGGGGCAGCGCCAACATCCTGCTAAATGCTAAAACTGGAAGCGCTCACTTTCCAACAGTGCCGGAGCATAATTTTTCTTTGAATTATACCCGTTCTCCCACAGCTCTCCTGGCCGAACGCGCAGCCACGTCTCCCTCAACTAAACCAGCTGCCTCCTGAGGTGCATCAGCATATTTCGGCCACGTTTGCATACCTGGATGATGTAGCTAAGGCGATCAGCAAGGCTTGCAGTATCCCCTGAATGAAAGCAAAAGGATTTTTCTTGGTGATGAGCACAAAAAGCAGAGGTAGGAGAACAAGTCCGTGGATGACCAGCCCTGACACCACTGTAATGGCATATAGTCCCAGCTTCTGTCCGATAACCGATGGATCTTCCATCTCCAGGATCTTTCCAGCAATGAGAAATACAATGCCAAAGGGGAAGTACCTGCAAAGAATAAGCATAAAAAAATATTTATGAGTGTGCAGCAATCACTGAAGCACCACGTGACAGTCATTACAGTGTTTGGTACTGTGCGGTACAGTCAGACAAATCTAAACAATAGATACGTGTGAGTATCTGTATGACCGGCATTACCATTAGCTAGCAGGTAAGAAAATAACTGAATCAATCAAAAACAGATTTACCAAACTGCCATCGAGACGATTTTCATAACTGCTTCGTTCAGACACTGGCACACGTTAACCAGCGGAGTTCCTCGCTCGCCCATTTTCCCCAGGAGAAGTCCTGCAACCAAAAAACATCGCTTTATGTCACACAACAGTGCCCGGGAGCAGCTTGTGTCGTGCCAAGTGTCCGGAGGCTCTGGTGGTCGCAGAATGGGTTTCACTGGGCAAACTCAGAGCAGGTCAGACCCGTTACAGATTTCCACACACTCTTACGGCTCACAGTAATTCTCTGCTCTAAGCAAATACAAGCATCTGGTCTGTTCACAAAAAAACCCCCCAAAAACCCACCAAACCCAGGACTTGGACTATTCCTTGCACGGATAACTGCTAAACTCTTCAGTGCTGCTCAATACTGGAAGACTCACTTCTAGAGGTGGACATGCTGTCTTGCTGTTTGGTAATACAAGAATAATTTAGCTCCAGAAACAAAAATTCAGGGTTTTTTTAAAGGACAAAGCTCAGTGGGGTTATATACAGCTAAGGATGTGATGGTGTGTTGCATCCCTGCGACTGTACAGCAATAGAAGAAGGATCTGAGTTGCTTAGATACAGGCATTAAGTCTTCTGTATTAATTCTGGATTTTCTTTTGATGCTGTTGCATTAACCTAATTCCAGTCTAATTTTCTGTTTTAGGAATGCTAGAACAGAAATACGGGAATGGTCAGAGGGGTTATGGTGCTTTCTGGTCTGCCAGCACAAAACTGGCCAGTGCTAAGTGCCGTTGCTTTGACTGGCGAGGAGGTTTCCCAGGTACCATTGGGCAAAAGAAAAATGAGTCTATTTACCCATCTAGTTTCCAGCCCAGTGCGTGTACTTTCTGTGTTGGTCCCGTTAGCTAAATTACTTCTGAAGCACTGTACAAGTGTCTGCTTTAGCTTGGGAAAGAAGAATATAGTCAGGGTCTTGTCTTGTCCCTCTCGTCCCTCTTTGTTCTTCAGGGCTGAGGACTCCTAGAGACCCTTGGCAGGTAGTCGGATCTCTTGGCTTGTGCAGAAGAGAGGTGAGATAGGGTCACCTTTGCCAGGACTTTCAGAAATGGGACAAGGTTTGGCATATTTACGTCTCAGCTCTGGATAGTCATCCAGTATTTGGTGGCCGTAACAGCTGGTTTGAAAGAAACCCATTTCTCTTCAGGTCCTACAGACAGCTGATTTGGAAAAGATCCCCCTAGAAAATGGACAGCTTGCTTCAAGTAACTTTAAATCTCTGCCCTTTTCTGGATTTCAAAAGCAGCAGATAGGACTGGAGATGCTCCGTGTCAGTGGAGAGACCACTGGAGCTGCGGTAGCTGTGTGCGGTTACCGTCCACAGCAAAGACACTCCGGGTAGCCGGTGGATGCTGCATGGACACCTGGGTCTTACTCCCACAAACTGTCTAATTTTGGTATTGGGCACAAATACCCTTTGCCAACATCTCCACCAGCTTCCACCTGGCCTCCCCGCCTTGCTGCACGGAGGAGCTGATCCCCGTTTCCCACGGCGCAGAGCTGTGTCTCCTGGCTTTCCCTCTCCCTTTCCTGTTATCTGCCAGGCAAACCCCGTTAATTCAACCTTTCCTCGCAGGTAAAGCTTCTCCTGGATGTACAAATGCCCTTTTCCAAGCTGCCCGTCACCGGTGCTGGTCTGTGGCCTCGTGGAGCTCTAACCCAGCCCGTACAAAACCTGGGGAGCGCAGCTGGGTGGCCGGGGCTGGCAAAGGTGATCTCCCACCGCGTCCTGACCCGGCGCTGATCCTCGCTCCCGCGCTGGCAGGGTAGGGGGGTGGTAATCTCGGGAGAGAAAAGCGGCTTCTCCTCGCTGGTTTGGCTGCGCTAGAGGAGGACACGTGTCCTGCGAGCGGGAGCTCGGTGCGTTTCCCTGAGCGTCCGTGGTCCGCAGGTGGGGTTGGTCCCGGGACAGGAGTCTGCTGCAGGCTTGTGTTCTGTCTGTAAGGGTCTTTACGTGGGTCTGTCTCTGCCTGGTCCCACACCTCCTCCAGGCACTCACTGTAATGTAGCCTTTAAAACTGGCCGCTGTGCCCCGGCTCTGACGGTCTGGTGTGCTCCGGTGCCGTGCTGGCCACACCGCCTCCACCCCTCAAATCCTCTAATTGGCTTTTTGGTTCCTTATACACTAAGTTCAAGCTCCTTGCCCTCACCTCTTAATCTGCACGTAATCCTGCCCCTGTGCTCATCTCATCACCTCCTACTCCTCCCTCCCGATTCCTCCCTTCCTCCCTCAGTCTTGCACCCAGTGTCCTTCTGTCTTACGCTTTGAGTCCGCTCCAGGTTCCTCCTTCCCATGACTTTCTCCCCTTTAAACCTTCTTCCTCCCCATCCCTTGCCCGTTCTCTTCATCCAACCTCTGCTCCTTCTTCCTTCCTGAAATTGCTGCCGAGCACCTTGTCCACACGGGATTGCAAGCTGTGCAACGCAGGACGCTTTCTTACCTTCTTCAGAAAGCCCTGTTATAAATTTCCATACATTTGTGATGGGCACTAAGCCCGACCCAGCTTTCACCTGCTGCCTGCTCAGGGAGTTTGAACATTGCCCATGTGAAGGGTTCGGACCATTTGTAGCGCGCTGTGTCCCAGGTCACCTTTGCAAAAGTTACAGCTCACTTCAGCAGACTTCATAAAAAGAACCTTCCAGCTGATGGGACGACCTGAAAACCCTCAGGACCCGTGCTTGGGCTGTGGAGGCTCACAGGGGAGATCTAGGGAGAAAAGCCTCAGTGCCGAGGACCTTTTCTGAGCTCCCTTATGGGTGGTACTGATGAAGGTATTGGTACAAGCTCCGTGCTGCGCCCGGTTCCCCAGGGACTTGAGCAGTTAGAGCTAAAATAACCTCATCCCTCTGGGCGTCCCTACCCCAATTTACAGCGCGGTGGCCGCAGCAGTTACCGCCCTGGGTTGCAGCCGCCGCTGAACAGCCTTGCGAGCTGCGTCGGAGCGTGGTGTGGAGCCCCGTTCTCTATTGAGCAGGTACCTATCGTTGCTGAGAAGATGACGATTCCCAAGACGTTCATCTCGTTGCTGGTCCCGGGCAGGGTCCTGTAGGTCATCTCAGGTGACGGTGTCAGCTCCAGGAACACAGGCCGATGAATTTCAGGGTTTTCATCGTCAGGTGCAAAGTAAATAAAACTGAGAGATTTCCCTGGGATCTTTGGAAAGCCGGGAGATTTCACCACCGGGACAAGAACAGTTCGATACTGGAACGAAAGCAAAGCAGAGAGGTTAGTGTCCTGTTGGCAATGGTATCCATCCTGCTCTCAACGCAGAGGCAAAGCCATCACCGGGCCAGGTGGTCCTGGAGGTTCAAAGTTTGTTTTTCAGCAGTAAAAGGCTGGTGGAAAGAAGAGAAGCAAGAAGCAGGCAAGGGGAACTGTGGTTGTTCCCTGCAGAGCTCGGCACAGCCATCCTCGAGCCAGGCTGCACTTCTCCAGGCAGACACACGGCGCTTGCAGGATCCTGGTGCGGCGCTGGGTGAGCGTTGTGGTCCCCGTGGAGAGGATCCTTCACCCCCCATCCCTCTCCTTCTGGGGGCTTTACAGATGCTTTCCCAACGCTCGTTTTTCCCTTCTCCCCTCCACCCTACCTGGCCCCTCCTCAGCCTCTCCCCTCGGTCCACCCCAACCTTTCCTTCAAGCTTTCCTCCCCCACGCCTGCTGCCTGCCCACCCCTCCGCCTCTGCTCCCCGATCCCCAGGGTCTGAGAAGCGGCTGCACAAGAGCGGGGTCCGAGGGAAGAGACATGCTGCTGTTGTCCAGGAGCCCCCCCCCAGGCGGAGGGCA